ACTAAAAAAGAGAACTACAGACCAATATCCCTCATAAACATCGATGCAAAAATACTCAACAAAATATTGGTGAACCGAATCCAAGAACACATCAGAAAAATCATCCACTATGATCAAGTAGGCTTCATCCCAGGGATGCAAGGATGGTTCAACATCAATGTAATCCACCATATAAACAAACAGAAAGGGGCTGGAGAGATGGCTCAGAGGTTAAGAGCACTGACTGCTCTTCCAGGGGTCCTGAGTTCAATTCCCAGCAACCACATGGTGGCTCACAACCATCTGTTATGAGATCTGGTGCCCTCTTCTGGTGTGCAGATAAACATGGAAGCAGAATGTTGCATACATAATAAATAAATAAAATCTTTTAAAAAATGGAAAAAGAAAAACCACATGATCATCTCACTAGATGCTGAAAAAGCCTTTGACAAAATCCAAAATCCCTTCATGATAAAGATCTTGGAGAGAACAGGAATGACAGGTACATACATATCTAAACATGATAAAAGCAATATACACCAAACCAAAGCCAACATCAAACTAAATGCAGAGAAATTCAAAGCGATTCCTCTAAAATCAGGAACAAGACAAGGCTGTCCACTCTCTCCATATCTCTTCAATATTGTACTTGAAGTTCTAGCTAGAGCAATAAGACAAGAAAAGGAGATCAAAGGGATACAAATTGGAAAGAAAGAAGTCAAACTTTCACTATTTGCAGATGATATGATAGTCTATATTAGTGACCCAAAAAATTCTACCACGGAACTGGTACAGCTGATAAACACCTTCAGCAAAGTAGTGGAATACAAAATTAACTAAAAAAAATCAGTAGGCCTACTATATACAGAAGATAAATCCAATGAGAAACAAATCAGAGAAACATCACCCTTCATAATATCCACAAGCAACATAAAATGTCTTGGGGTAACACTAACCAAAAAAGTGAAGGACCTGTACAGTAAGAACTTTGAGTCTTTAAAGAAAGAAATTAAAGAAGATTCCAGAAAATGAAAGATCTCCCATGCTCTTGGATAGGTAGAATCAACATAGTAAAAATGGCAATATTGCCAATGGACAGAGTCAATGCAATCCCCATCAAAATCCCAACAGAGTTCTTCACAGACCTTGAAAGAACAATACCCAACTTTATAGGGAAAAACAAAAAACCCAGGATAGCCAAAACAACTCTGTACAATAAAGGATCTTCTGGAGTCATCACCACCCCTGACTTCAAGCTCTACTATAGAGTCATAGTTCTGAAAACAGCTTGGTATTGGCACAAAAAATAGACAGATATACCAAGGGAATCAAGTTGAAAACCCTGATATTAACACACACACCTATGAACACCTTATTTTTGACAAACAAGCCAAATATATACAGGACATCAGAGAGAACATCTTCAACAAAGGGTGTTGGCATAACTGGATGCAAACATGTAGAAGACTACAAATA